TCCTCTGATAATTGCCCTCCTACTCTAACTCTCTGCGTTCGGCCTAAAAGAAATTCTCTTATCCATGCGACTATCCTCGAGTCCACGCCCGATGCCGCGATTTTCATAAGCAGCCGATCGTGAGGAAGTAAATCGAAGGCCTTCGAAAAATCGATTATAATCGCGTCTAACCTTCCTCCGTTATCCAGTGTGTCTGCAATGTCCTGACAAACCGTGATTACTTGACTTTCACATGAATATCCCGGCCTGAACCCATGTTGACCCTCGAATAACCAATTCTTTTCCTCCCAGTTTTTCCTCAGGTACGACGCCATAACGTGTTCCATTCGTTTGCAGACCACCGATGTTAAACTGACCGGTCTGTAATTTGTGACCAATGATCGATCACCTCCTTTGTAAATAGGAACCACTATGGCTTTTTTCCAGTCCCTTGGTATAGTGGCATTATTAATTGTTACGTCCAATAATCGCGCCAGGTATGGAATCATGGCTTCCCCACCCAGTTTTAGAATTTCCCCAGAAATGCTGTCAGGCCCTACTGATTTGCTTTTTCCCATCCCTGCTAGCCTTTTTCTAATGATTTTAGTACTAATGGCGAAGGGTTCGCCTGAGTTAGCGCATTGTATCTGCGGGATGCTACGCTCGCAGCTAAATACCGAAGAATAATAGAAATTAAGGGAGTTGGCCTTTTCTATCGAGTCAGTAATGAGCCGTCCATTACCATCCTTGATCGCCGGAATATTTTCCCTGTTTCCTTTACGTCGTTTTACATACTTGTAGAAATCGGTCCAGCATTTACCTTCATTTCTTAATATTGTCCGTAAAAATGTTTCCTGCGCATTTTGTTTAGCTAATAGCAACTGCTTTGATAGACGTTTCAGTTCCTCTTGGTGATTTTGTCCTAATTTCCTGCTGTTATATGCTTTTCTGACCTTTGAATTTAACCGTTTCGCCTCCTTATTGTAGTACTCAGACTCCGGTAAAGTATTCAAAAGAATTCTTGTAACTTCTCAACTGCAGCGTTCGGCCCAGTTTTCCAGCATCGACCAGTTGGCAATTTTAATGGCGAAGTTGTGCGGTACGGCCTGAATTCACGTGTAATTACAACAGCCTACAGACAACCGCTCAGAAACCGAACAGACACTTCGAGAAGGAGTCGCGTAGCTACCGATACCGCTCTGAAGGCACATGGTTCGAACCCCGGCTGCGACAGCGCCTATCTTTGTCGTGTTTCTGAGTCACTCGTGGATATTCTATTGAAATATGCCACGACTGTTTCCTTTCCAGTTCGGGGAATTGAGCTGACTCTAAATGACTTTAGTGAATAAATTAACACCTCCTCCTCTGAACCCAATCCAGGCAGTCACTGTGGGGTGCACACAGCGACACCACAACTACCCTTTACAACTGACTGCAACGTAAATGAAAGGAAATTAGATTAATCTCTTTCGTTGGCTTCTTTGCTCGATTCTAAGAAACATTAAAATGACATTTAATGGCGGTGAGTGTTTCAAATATTTTTCCCAGTTTCTCCCGGGAAAATTCGACGACAGTACCTCGAATCAGGCCATGGTCGCGCTTCCTGCCAGATCCTTCCCAATTCACTGATCATCGTGAATTACGTTCATTATTGTTGTTGTTATTTTTGAGACGTCGGTGTCGCTGCTCCTGCGGTCCGTACGCTAGCGTCGCCACGCGGCGCTCTCCGCAGTGCGCGCAGTGCCTAGGTCTCTTGCAGGAGAGACGCGCAGCATCGCGCGGTCCCAGCCACCAGCTGCTTGCAGTCTCCCCCCGGCCCTCCCACACCCTACGAACACACCAGTCACCAAGATGGCGGACAATGTTCAGAAGAAGACTTTCCCTCGGCGCGGCAACATTTAAGGATTGCGCACACTGTGGCCTTGTTACTGAAGAGTGGTTCGCGTTTTAAAATAATTGTAATAATAAAGTGTTTGAAAGTTCTCTGTCGGTTAAAAACGCGGCGCCCCTAGAAAAATCTCAGATGACGATGATGATGATGAGTGTGTGCAGTGAGTCGGGATCAAGTTCCTCGCGTGGTCCAAATGCCCTGTGTCAGTGATGATCAGTGCGTCCAAATGCGTGTGATGGTATAGAATATTTCTATATATTATTACTTACAAGGGGGCGAGTGGCGTGCAGTTCCAATTGCGACAGGAAAGTGCGTCTTCATGCCCTTTCTAGGGCCAGCATGAGAACGCCTTGTGATCGTCGGCAGTCACCGATACAAGAAGAACGCTCCCCTTGCGACACTCGGGCTCACGTCAGTGGCGGCCAGCCCTCGCCGGAGGAACGGGCTCAGCTGCTGCAAACTGACAGCCTGCCCACAGCGTTTGG